CAATTTCCTTAGTGAAAACTTTTATCAGAGGGAGCTGTGGTTTTAGAAATAGGGATTACATCAACTTTGATCAAGAACTGACTTAGGTATGATTATAATCTTTTTCAAGTGCCCCAAAAGGGGTGCAAGCTCAGACAGCCACCAGAGGATGTGATTTGAAACACAAGCTTATTAAAAGCTGCACGAGTTGAACAAGTAGCTGTTTTGCAAGTTGCTACAAAGGTGCACTCACCCTGGCCTCATTGAATCTGTTATCCCTTGTTTGCCACAATGACCTTCTTATGAACTAAAAAAGTGATAGAAATTGTAGGGAGGAGTGGCTTACATTTGTGAAAAACAAACACAAGGACAGTTTTGCTGGAGGTGGATTTACAGCTAGGCCAGTCTGAGGTCAGAATGTGTATGGCTTTAATGTGAACGAATTTATTTATTTATTCTTGTTTGTAAATGTTTTGTTTTTCTTGCATTCTCAGTTACAAGCGGTTTGAGGATAGAGTGAGGAGACAATGGAAACTTAAAAGTAAAATAACATTTAATTTAAAATAAATGAAAGCTGAATATGCTGGAAACAAAAAGTTGTCTGAGGAACAGCAAAGAAGTACAATAAAATTAAAGAATGTGGGGGTGAGGTGTAAGGTGTAAGAAGCTGTAAAGGAGTGGGAAGTTAGGTTATGGAGGACTTCAGAAGTCAGACAGAAGCTTTTCTATTTGCTCCTGGAGGTAAAGGTGACCTGTTTAAACATCATGTTGGCAGCTAAATGGAGGATGGTTTGGAGTAGAGAAAAACTCAGCAGACAGACCAATAGCAGGTTATTGCTTTAGCATAGGTGTGAGATAATGAGAGCCTTCATCAGCGTTGTAACGGTATTTGATAAAAACTTCTATCTGCAAGAGATGTGATTTATATAGGAAAATAGAATTTATTTAGGTAGATTTAGCAAAACATTGAATATAGCAAGGTAGGGTGAGAAATGGAAGAGCAAAAGGTGACACTTAGTTTAAATCTGGGTGACTTGGGAGGATGACTAGTTTTGTGGAATTAAGGAGAGAGGAGAGGGAGGGAGAAAATTTAAAACACAAAAGCTTATGGAAGTGAATGTTGAAAACTAAAAATAAATTAATTTTAAAAATTTAAAGGGTTTATAAGATTTCAAGTATTTTCTAACTCTACTTTTATTTCTTATGTAGTTACATTGTTTCTTTTTTTAAAAAAATCTATTTCTCCTTTAATGTTTCCTTTGCGCATATTTGCTTTTTAATTTTTTTAAATTTCCTAGTTTTTTTTCAACTTGTGAACCCAGTTCATTAGTGTTGTGTTTACAAAAATTTTGTTAACATATATGTTTTCGGACATATAATTTTTCCTTTAAAGACTGCTTTAACTGTTATTATGTTTCTGTAATTTGGACCATTCATTAGTCAGGATATCATAAGTAAGCCACTTTTTAATCCTGTGTCTTTTTGTTTTTGTTTTTGTTAGTTGTTTATTGGAAGAAGTGGGCTGAGGAGGGGTCACTAGATTCGCCAGAGAGCAACAACACCACACAAAGTAAGGAGTGATGGGAGAGGTCAGCACATAGCTCTGGGATCTCAGCCTTTTTGTAGACTGTGAGGGTTGGCCTGGAGTGTTAGGGCATACCAAGGTGGAAGGCCTTGACTTACTTAGTAGGCATGGTTAGAGACAAAGAGAGACTCACTGGCTGCCCCTCCTGACTTTCCACTTGGAGTATACTTGCCTTGAGCAGCTTGGCTATTAGGGGTGGCCCGCTTAATATATTCCTCTTGGCAGCCTGGACATTTTCTTTCTTTCCACCCCAAGTCTTGAGGGCAGATGCCTGCAAAGCTTGGCCATAATAAAAGGTCAGGGTCCATGGCATGTGCAAGGGGTAGGTGTTGATGACATTGAGGTTGATGGAGGCATCTTCTTCTCTCTGACCCCCAGATAGGAAGGTGGTTACAGTGACTGCAAGAGGCACAGTCTGGCAAAGGACAATGACAGTGGCCACTGCAATCTCATGTGAACACTTCTGGGTACAGGGGTGATACATGTTAGACTTCAGCAAGGTCCCTGCCAGATAGACATGGTGGCCACTCAGAGCTTTGTAGACAGCAGTCAGTCCCTTCTCAGTGACATACTGATGACACTTCAAATCACGTTCTCCATCAGGAAGGATCTCTGGCTCCACAATGGAGACAATGCCATTCTGCTGGCATATCAGGCTAGCACATTGGCATTCTCCATGATGGCAAGTGGGAAAGGTGTATTATCCCCAATCTTCAGTACACAGTACCACTTGGCAGTCAACTCCATTATTCTTTTACTAGACACGGGGCTCACTCAACTCTTCCAGACCTTGGTCCCTACCAGGGACACTTTACCTTTGTCCACCTTGATGCCCACAATGCCACCCTTTGCCTTTATGACATTGGGGAAGGGACGACTACCATCGGCTTTCTGGTGAAGTGTCTCATGGAAAAAGATAACACCTCCAATGCAGGAGTTCACTCGATCATTTGCTGTCAGAAGTAATGCCCTACAAAGGTGATGATTTTCCTCTGTGTTCTCAGCTCCAATGGACTGCAGTGGCTTTGCAGTGCTACCAGTGGACTCATCTGCTGCCAAGATTCTCTTGCCCGGAGCAATAATTTGATGAGCTATACCAGACAGTTATTTTTTTTGCTCTGTTGTCAACGCTGAGTATTGGCAAGGCATGTTTTCCTTGGCTGTGCTGGTAGTTTCCAGCAGAAAGCCGGTCGAGAACTGAGCTTCTGCCAATCCTGTCTTTTGCTTTTGTTCCTTTTATTAATTACTATTTTTATTGAATTAAAGTTCACTAATAATGTGTACGTTGTAAAAGAGGTATTTTCATTAATGTTTCCATTTAAATTTAGAAGATTGCTAATTCTTTCAGAAGTAGCTTTTCCAGTGATTTAGTTCTGCATTTTCTTTTTTATCTTTTATGTTTAACCAGTTTGTGAGAGCAACATTAAAGTGTGCAATTATGATACTAAAAATATTCTATGAAAAGTTAGCTTACATTTCCTTTATGAATTTCATCATTATACTGTTGTTATTGTTCATTGTCTATAGTCTCTTTAATCACAATGTAGTTTCCCTATTTAAGAGGACTGATTAATTCATCTTTTTCTGGTCTCCTGGGCAGACTGGCTAAACCAGGTTAAAGGGTCCCAAAACCGTCACTGAGTTAAGGGGATGTCTACCCCAAGCATGTGAAGACTTCCCCTGGTAAAATGGATGGATGAGAACAGTTTGTCACAACAGCTATGAAGGTGGCCGACATAGTGCTTAGAGCTTGATCAAACAGCAACGACATATATTGCATCCTGGGCCATCGCTAGTCATCTTGACTTTGATGACTGTGTAATCTTGCCTCTACTTCACGGCAAGTTAGAACATCACCCCATGATGTCATTGGTCCTTTTTAAAAGGAAGGACAAACAACATTTAAAATTTATACCTCTTTACATATAAATATATGTCGCCCGCGACTAAGTGTTGCATCAAACACAGGAGTGTGCAGTGAGGAAACGTAGGCCAGGTGGGTCAGTGAAAGACTGAGCCATTTATTATTCTGAGGGTCCAGTTTTAATAGTGAAAGCTAACAATCATCCCAGAGGCATTCCCACTGTTCTTACATGACTAATCCCAGTCCCGATGTGCATCCTTAATTGTTCACACCTGCTTGCCATCAAGGTTCAATGGTCAGAGTGTTCTAACACCTCCCAGGCACAGGATATTGGTGAGCCAAATATTCTGAATAAGTGAGCCCTTTAAGGGTAGGAAAGCAAAGAGTCAAGCTCTGACCTAAATTCCTTATCCTATATTAGACTCTTCAGCCCTGGCCCTCAACAACTCCCCTTTTTTGTTTTCGAAATTGACTTAAAGTGATGAACATATGTACCCCAAAGATTTGACCCATGCGTTACTTATTGCCGTAGAATATAACAAGCAATAATGAGATATAACAAGCAATGCATGAAAACAGATGAAATAGTAAAGCAGGTACATTTATCAAATATATTGGTTATGCCCAATTTTCCAAAATTTCTCGAGCTAGGTTCTGGGGTTGAGTCCCTGGGAAATGACTGTTAGCAAAAGACAAATCAGAATCAAAGATCTCCAATAAATTCAACACTACGCCAATGATACATTCCAAGCTTAAATCAGTTGCAAATGACATTGATGAGGCAATAAGTGATACAAGGGCTACAATACCCCAAATAGCACAATGAAGCTGTTGAGTAAGCATGTCAAATCAGAAGCAAAAGTACCTTCCAAATGATTTTCCATCCAACAACACCAGAATTATATGGATCTAAATTCATCTCCAATAGATTCAAAAGACATAGATATATTCCATACCACCCCCATAGGAGACACTAACGTAGAATAGGTAACATTTTCCCGCTCAACACAATGTTTCCCATAACATCTTCCATTCCTTTAATCCCTGCAAGATGGTAAGCAATGCAAACATAACTCTCCTTTTCCAAAAATGCTGCTGCTTGTCCTACAGGCACAATGCCAGTCAATTTATCCTCCCAATTAAGTAGTCTAGACCATGGAGGATTATTAACATATGTCCAAAGCTGCACAGTCTTTTGCCTCCAGAGTGGTCAACTACAGCAGCAGCATCCTCTGTCTTTGTTGTCCTCCTCCGTTGTCTCGGATGCTCCCTTCTTATTCTTTTATCTCTGTGCTGGTTTTGCAATCCGAGTGTCTGGAGTTTCTGGGTCACTTCGAGCACAGACTCGGAGGCTCCATTCAGGAACCCACATTGGCCCTTCTGAGCCATCTGGAAAGATAGAAGCATACCCCCACCCCCAGGTTAGCGATTTTTCTGGCCTAAACCAATGATTGTGTTTTGGGTCCTTCCACACGACTCTTTTCAGTCTTTCGTTCTTCATTTTCTGTTGCTGCTACTTTTAACAACAGGGGTAGCTGGAATTTGCAGTTCTGTATTACCTGGGTGGGGGCCATGCAAAAGAGACCACAGCTAACTGATAGTGCTATTGATGATGATGCAGGTGTGGCTAAAGGAGATTGTGCTGGCAAGGAAGGTGATGAAAGATTCGAGAATATGGCCATGTCTGGAGTGGAAGATCTTTGGGGTGTAGGTGTAGCTGCCTGCTGAGTCCCAACCAATGAATAACATCATCTGTAATGCTACAAACATTAAAAAGTGTGTTGTAGATTAAATAAGATGGAAATGCTGATAGTTCTGGGCATTTTGCTCTTTCATTTGATGGCATATTTCGCTGTATTAAATGTTCAATATCCCTCTTTACTACATGAAGGTGTTCTTTGATATCATTCAAATGCTGAGTCATTTCATATACACTGCCTGATGTGTCCCGTTAATCAGAAGAATGTTTAGGCAAAAATTAGGCAAAAAGCAGCTTTCATAAGTTTTTCTCCCACAGCCACATTCAGAAGGAAAAAAAAACCCGAGAAGTTCTGGATAGGCATTATGAAATGTTACCATCTTGTTCCTAAACAAGCTTTACTTGAGCAAAATGATCTTTGATTTTTCAAGACTGATGGAATAGGATTATTCAGACCAGGAAGACTGGTAGCAGGCCCGGCAGTAATTACAAAAGGAGCTGAGCTAGATACCACTTTAAGGACAAAGGAAGCTCTGCAAAAACTGATGATAATGGAGTAGAAACAGCTGTAGAAGTAGCAGGAAAAGCATATAGCTTTACTCTTATTCTCCCAACATAACCATGAGGTAACGAAGTGATTGTGAGTTTCTACCCAGTATAAGTCCTACAGTTCTAGGAGGAAGTAGACTGTATACACCTGTGGGAATGGAAACTACTTCATTATAGATTTCCTTAGGTGTAATAGAGCTTAAATCCAATCCTGTGCTGCCAGAGGTAGCATGTATAAGATCAAGCACAGTGATTATTGTGGAGTCTGAATCAATGGTGTTACTTTCTTGTTAACAATTGGTGGTAGTCTAAGTACAATTTCATTATCTACTTCATCATCATTCATTTCAGCTGCTTGAACTTTCCACCTCTCTAAAAATGTTGGTGAACAAATGGGTGTGGGGCCCTGGCTGTTTATAGAATCAAAGCAGCATCTGAAACATTCATTTTTTCCTCTTGGGTAGACCAATTGTAACTGTTCTTGCAGCTCTGTATATGCTCTGGAAATACATTTAGGGTTACATAATAAACTTTCCTATAAGGCTTTTTTTCCTTTTGAAAAAAATATATGCTTCTGAACGGTCAAAACTCAACAGATTCAGGAACAGGAGAAAGCATGAGGTTTCCTATACAGCTTTCCCAATACCCCTCAATCTTAAGTTGTGCCACTCATGTTACTCTAATATAGAGCATCTTAATTAGCTGAGATTGGCAATTATATGTGATCTTGCTTTCTTGGAGGGTGAAATAATCTGTAAGAGTGGACAAATAACTCAAATATTTTTTTCCACCTCATGACAAGGTACACACTATAAGAACCATAACCAGATCCTAACTTTTTTGCTTATACCTCCACCAGTTGTTAGTAATAACGTTTTGAAAGCTGCTTTTCCCTTCTACTTTGTGAAATATACAGTGATGATATGAAGTATGTAAAGACTAGGAATAGAGAGAACAAAGGAGAATTCCATCTTAGCTATGAATGAGTTCTTACGAAAGAAACCTTTCCAAATCTGTTGTTATGAAGGTCTTTTCCTACTGTTTTCTCTCCCCATTAAAAGAAGGAAAAATATCTATATACAAGTGAATTACCTTTTGAAAATCATGTTTTTAAGGAAAAACCTAAGCTGTCTGTACCTCTTATTTTGTTGTTAAAAGTTTTTTTGATCTCTTTTCCTGTCAAGCATTCCATAGTAATAGGGATCCCTGTTCTGGACTGTATTGTATCTTCTAGTGCTATAATATTATTTTCATGACATCTAAATTCAACCTTTGGGTATTTAAAAGTCCCTGTATGTGGTATCCAATAACAATTCTCTTTTTCCAGCTGCTTTTAGTTGGTCTACTTTAATCAATTCTTTACAAAGATGCACCTTCTGGCTGCTTAAACTATTTATCTATAACTGGTCAATACTTTTCTAAGTTCCAAAGGTTTCTTAATATGTTCTTCCATGCCATGATTTATTGTTTGAGATCTTCAATATCCTTCACTTTCCTGACTTCTTTTTAATGGCAAATATTGGAGAGTTCCAGGGACGTGAATGGTTCTATACGTCCTGCAGCTATTTGTTTCTGCTATCTGTTGAGAGCCTGATTTTTTCTAGATTAAGCAGTCACTGGTCTACCATATGGGGAGGCCCTTCTTTCCAAGTTATTTTTGGAACTTTTACTGTTCTTTTACCTTCAGCTGTGACCTCTACAAAAATTCTTACTATTTATAGTGACATTCACATGTTTCAGTAAATCTCTTCCCCAAAGGCAACAAGGAATGTGTGATAACACATATGGTCGAAATTTTCCTTGCTGTCCTTCCACTTTCCAAGTGAGCCACGGCACACTCTGAGCCGGCGCAGCTATTTCTCCTATGCCTTGCAATACTACATTCCCTTGATTCAATAGCCATTCCCTAAGCCAGACCCGTATGCCAATGACTAATTTGGCAGCCCCTGTGTCTATTAACCCTTCATACTCTCTTCCCTGTACTTCTGTTTTTAATGTAGGTCTGGCATCTGTCATAGCTCTATGCCAAAACATCTCTGTACTTCCAAACCCTTCTGTTCCTCTTAAAAGATCTACATTGAGAAACCCACTGATTACCACAGCAACATTTGGGACAGGGCATACTGGGAACATTTTGTGGTGTCCTTTTGTGTGTCTTACATTTTCTTTTTATGTGACCTGGTTCCCACAATTAGAGCATTTTAATATTCGTTGAGTCCTTGAAGTATTACTAAATGCTGCTGCCATCACTTGTGCCTGAAAATGTGTGGTTCCTATATCCTGACATCTCTGGATCGTTTCTCCTATAGTCATATTAAGGTTACCTCCCTGTAAAGCTTTCTGGAATTACCCCCAGTCTCAGAAGTTTTCTCCAACAGTGCCCAAATGAACAATTTCCCAATTTCTTAATGATTAATAGCAAAACCTCCAGAATCTGCTAAGATGTTTTTTACCTGTATCTAACTTCCCACTGTAAGTCCAGGCTGGCCAGGCCTAGACCCACAGGGAAAGGAGTTTTGCAATTTGTTGCTTCCCTAGCTGCAGCCCCCAGAAGTCTCTGGCTGAATGACGTAGTGGGCACTTAATGACACAGAGAGAGGGAATTGGAGGCTTGTTAGAAAGCCTTTAACATGAATTGGCTATTATCATTATTCTGAGGCATTTGAAGGGGAAATTGAAATTGTTCCTGCAATTCTATGTATCTTCCTGTTCCTGTTAATTGTTCGAAAGAAATAGGAACTCCTGTTCTGTTGTTATATTTTACTTGTTCTTGGCATTGCTCAAAGTATTCTGACTTCCATATGAAATAATCTCCAGGATCAAGACATGTTTTTACTATAGAACACCAATCATATGGGGCTAATGCTCTATTGTATACTGAGTCCAACAATGTTTGTACATAGGGACAATTAGGTCCGTAATTAACTGAAGCCTGTTTTAATTCCTTTAACAATTTAAATTCGAACTGTCTATGAACTCTGATTTTTGTACCTGGGTTATTTATATCTTCCTCTTTGTGTACTGGAAATAGCATGGTTTTTGGCACAGCTAATTTTAATTCCATGGGTACTTCCTCTCCTTTTTCCTCTGCTTTTATGATTGCTTCTTCTAATAACCCTTTACAATGTTTTTTATGGCTTTTTTGATTTTTATTTGTTTCCTCATTATCTTCTCTATATGAGCCTGATCCATATGAGGGTGGGGGTCTTAATGGTGTGGAAGGTGTGATAGGTCTTGCATGTATAACCTCTTCTTCTACAATTTTAAGCTTTTCTTCAAATACTTAATTCATCTCTTCTTCTTCCTCCAATTCCACCCCCACATCTACCCTGAATACTTTTATTGTTGGAAACCTCTTCTCCAAGTTGAATATCAATAGAATGCTACAGATAACAATCCCTAACCAGGGAAGAAAGATAGATTACAACATGAATAGGTGAGAGACAGAACAGCTGAATGTTTCTACACTTTATCAGTCAGTACCTCTACAGCAGTGGTTCTCCCTGTGAAACTCAGTGAATACTGTTAGTCTTTAACTCTTGTAACTATTGTATAATCTTTTGATGCATCTCGCTCACCTCTTGCATGTATAAGATCTACTGCTGTGTTTATTGTTGAGTAGGAGCTGGCCTGGGTTGCAGAAGAGATAACACAGCTCCTATTGTTTGTCGGGGCCGGAGCGGGCCCCACTGGGGGTTTAAAGGTCTCTTCTTCTTCCCCTGATCCTGCCCCAACATGTGCCTTAAGTACTTTTGATGAAGGTGGGGTCTGTGGTGGTGATGAAGGTAGAATGCACCTGGACCTACTTCCCCACGGTACTCACTCATTTGTCGCCCCACCATTTCCCATGTTTCTAAGTCTATTGTTCCTTCTGGAGGGAACCACAGGCAGCATGTTTCTACACATTCCAAAAACTCCTGTAACTGAGCATCTGTAATAAATAAAACTCTTTCTTTCACTATTTCCTTGAAAAGTTGTAGATAATATTTTCTGTCTTTGCTTCAGCTTTGTGTTTGACCCATACTTTCGATTCCAGGTGCGCCTCCCAAAACCGAAAAGTAAGTGCATGTGGCTGTTCCAAAGCGACACTATTCTTATGCTCGAGACCTTTCTCTTTTCTTTTCTTATGCTCCTGTTAGCGAGCCCTTCTCTTTTCTTTTCCTATATCCCACTTGCCTGGTGTCCCCTTAGCCCTAGAACTGCTAAGGAATTGTATTTTGTGACGGTCACTCTCTTACCTTGTTTCCACAGCGTTGAGCTACCAAGGCTTTTTTTTTCTTTTTTATTCTCTGGAGTCCCAAGAGAGCCACTCCCCTCATACCTTCCTTCATGTCCCTGTTCAGGCACCACTTGTCGTCCTCCACTAAGTGTTGCATTAAACAGAGGAGTGTGCAATGAAGAAACGTGGGCCAGGTGGGTCAGTGAAAGACTGAGCCATTTATTATTCTGAGGGTCCAGTTTTAATAGCGAAAGCTAACAATCACCCCCGAGGTGTTCCCACCATTCTTACATCACTAATCCCAGCCCTTATGCTCATCCTTAATTGTTCACATCTGCTTGCCATCAAGGTTCAAGGGTCAGAGTGTTCTAACACCTCCCAGGCACAGGATATTGGTGAGCCAAATATTCTGAATAAGTGAGCCCTTTAAGGGTAGGAAAAGGAAAGAGTCAAGCTCTGACCCAAATTCCATATCCCATATTAGACTCTTCAGCTCTGGCCCTCAACAAATATATTTTAATTTTTGCTTTGTTTTTATAGCATTGCAGCTCCTGATTTTTTGAAAACAACTGATACATCGTACTTTATTGCTGTTTTTCCATGATTTCTGAGAGTCCATGGAATTGTTTTTACTTTGGGAATTTTGGATCAGTTGCCTTCATTATTTATTCTGTTCTGATCTCTTTTTGAATTTTGTTCATTTTACCTTCTGTCTTTGAGGCTCTGTTGTTTACATGTGGGTGGGTTTACACTGAAATTTTTGGTATGGGATTTTAGTCTTTCAGTCTTTCTCATGTTTCCAGTAGCTTTATATCTTCTTTCCTTCCTCACTTTTTGACCCCTCTGTTTTAAAGTGTTGCACAGACTTCTGGGAATGGTACCTTCAGCCTCCTTAAATTGGGAAGCCTTAGCTCCAATCTGGGATACCTGCTAATGGTAAATTCAAATGCTGTCCCTGAACATCTTTTCTTATTCCCTTGTCCTGATACTTCCTGTCCTTTGAGTATTAGTATATATTGTACATATATATATATATATATATATATATATATATATATATATATATATATGGTATATTGAGAATTAAGTATACTTAATTCACTGGCATCTTCAAGAACTCATGGTAACTTTATATCAAGATGTGTAGTATTGCCATTTTTTTACGTTGGCTTGGACTACTCATAAGTTGTTAATAATTTCTCCAGTTATTGAGATGTCTTCATTTGTGTGAAATGTTTTGTTGATTGTATTCATGTAGTTCCTGAAATGAGGAACAGCCAGGAAGCAGGTGACTGTTGAAGAGTAGTTGGAAGGGAATGAAGAATAAAAAGGATGGAGCAGCTAGGTGGCACAGTGAGTAGAGCTTTGGCCTTGGAGTCAGGAAGACCTGAATTCAAATCTGGCCTCAGACATTTGACACATACTAGTTGTGTGATCCTGGGCAAGTCACTTAACCCTGATTGCTTCTCCGAAAATGTTAAAAAAAAAAAAGAATAAAAAGATTGATAAATGTAGGAAGGAGCCAGATTGTGAAGAGCTTTGAAATTCAAACAAAATATTTTGTGTTTAATCCTAGAGCCTCTACAATTTATTGAGGTGGAGAAAAGGTAATAAGACTTAGACCCGAGTCTCTTCATTTGACTGACCATACCCAGTTTCTTTGACTAGTCCTCATGTGGTACGATCTCAAAGCTTTTCATTGTTTTGGTTCTCATTTCCTGAACATTTACTAACTTGCCAATATCTTTCCTAAGATGTAGTACCTAACACTGGACACAGTATTTTAATCAAAGTTTCAGTAGATGACATTTGTAGTTTTTTTACCTGCTCTTGCCCTAGTGCCTATCCACTCAGCTTCTGCCCTAATCCTCCTTTACTATCACATCTGAGGCTTGAAACTTTGGTATTATCCTCTAGATTGCTCAGTTACTTTCACTCTATATAGCAAATTTTCTGCCAAATGTTCCCTTTTTATATTTTAATATCACCTTGCTTCTAATAATAGCCACACTTTTATTCCTTTCTCAGGTCGCTTCCCACCCTAAATATTTACTAAAAACCTAATGGAATGTGTGTGTCTTTGCCCCTTCCCTCTATAATTAACCTTCCCTTTACACTCTGTACATAGTTATTTGTCTGTCTTCCCCATTCAAATGTGAGTTCCTTGAGAAATGGGACGCAATTTTTTCATTACACTCTTAGTAAATTATCCACGTAGATAAAATCAGCCCAAGTTAACTTCACAGAATTAGTAATTGTTTCTAAGGCCTAACTCCTCAGATTTTTCATACCTCTTTTATTAATTCATTAATGCTCAGTAACCATTATATTAAATTCTTTAAGCTATTAATATAATAACACCATTAACCAAACAAAGAAGGAAAGTATGCTTGTATCTGTATCCCACAATCTTAGAGGCCAGAAGCATTACTAGGTTTGAGATGAGACAATTTTAAATCGAATCTCTGACATTAACTCTCTGAAATTCAGTTTGTCCATCTATAAAATGAGGGCATTTAGACTCTAGAGAACGGAAGGAATAATCGGAGTAGAAACTTGAGCAGAAGAAAACAGTCTTACTGTGTTTTCTTTCCCGTTTTTGCAGTACTGTAAATGCCAAACACAGTGCTTGACACATAATTGGCACTTAAAAATGAACTTTGATTAACTTTAATTAATCATTTCCTATTATCTACTCCTTTATCACACTTCAGCTACACACAAGGATGATCGTATCCTTGACTTTGCCATCACACACACATTTTCCACTTCCATGTTCAATTAATTAAATATTTATTAATTGGATTAAAGAAAGGAAATTCTCTTTAAACTATTGCTTTTGCCTCCCACATTGTGAATCTAAACACAGTAGAGAGTGGTCATGAAGAGTTGAACATGATTAGTATAACTAAATAACAACAAATCCCATTACGTTAATGTAACAGTTTGTCCCACTACACAGTCAGTTGCTTGGCAGCGGATAGAGCCCCAGGCCTGGAGTCAGAAGGACCTGAGTTCTAATGTTTTCTCAGACACTTCCTAGCAGTGTGATCCTGGGCAAGTAACTTAACCCTGTTTGACTCAGTTTCCTCATCTGTAAATGAGCTGGTGAAGGAAATGGCAAACCACTCTAGTATGTCTGCCAAGAAAACCCCAAATGGCATCACAAAGAACCAGACACAACTGAAAAACAACTGAATAACAGCAAAATTATTTGTGGATTAATTCAGAGCTCTACCAACAATGCATTAGTGTTTTCCAACAGCTCTTCCAACATTTGTCATTTCCTTTTTTTGTTTGTTTATTACATTGGTATGAATTAGAACCTCAGAAATGTTTTAATATGCATTTCTCTAACCATTTCTGATTTAGGCCATTTTTCATAAGGATATTGATAGCTTTGATTTCTTATTCTGAAAACTGCCTATTCACTTTCTTCAACCATTTGTCAATGAGGGAATGGCACTTATTCTTGTAAATAATAAAATAAAATAAAATAAATAAATAAATAAATAATACCTAAGAAATGAAACCTTTATCAAGGAACTTAATACAAACTTTTGTTCACCAGTTTTCTGCTTTTTTTTTTCAAATTTTAAGTTGTGTTTGTGCAAAAACTTTTTATGTAATCAAAACAGTACATTTTATTTTATTTCTTGATTAGTCATGAATTCTCCCTTTATCCATAAATCTGACAAGTAATTTTTTCCACACTTCACTAATTTATTATGTCACACTTGAGTTCATTGAGTTCATAAAGGCAATTGAGTAACTTAGTGGATAGACCTGGAATCAAGAAAACTTGAGTTTAACTCTATCTTTAGATATATTCTAGTTATGTGACCCTTGGTATGGCACTTCATAACTTTTTGCCTCAATTTCCTCCCTTGAAAAATGGGGGCAATAATGCTACAACAGTAGGAGGAGGCTCAGATGAAATAATTGTGAAGTGCTTTGAGCTCTATATAAATGTTAGCTACTATTTGGTATGTGATATTGGTTTATACATAGTTTCTTCCAGACTACTTCCCAATTTTCCCTATAGTTTTTGTTGAATGGTGATTTCTTGCCCCAATAGCTGGTATCTCCGGTTGATTAAAAACTGGGTTATTTTGCTTATTTTACATATTTAGGGCATGGTCTCTTGCACTGATGAACATCATGCAGAACCAAATTGTTTCGATTATTATACCTAGTTTGAAATCTATGCCCTCTTCCTTCCCATTGTTGTTTTGTTTTATAAGTCCTTTGAAGTAAGTACTTGACCTTATATTCCTGTATGGGACAAGTGAAAGTTTTTCTCATGTAAGAGGTAAGCTATGCTCCAAAAATGTAGTAAGGCTTCAGCATGAGCTGGGCCTAAGTTTCACTTTCGTTTTTGGGGAAGGGGGTTGTGCACCAGCTGCCCACCCCCCTCCCTTGTTTTGTAACCCCCCCCTCTTTTGCTTTGTGCCTTAATTTTACCAAATAAGGTAATCTTCTAGCTCTCAAGCAAGTTTTGAGTAAAACATATCTCTTGGGTTCTAAATATAGACTGTGAGGTCTCTTGCCTCAGCCAAGGAGGATAAAGAGATTGAGACAAACAGGGGGAAAGGGGAGCTTTCTGGAGTGGTTTGTCTAAGACTAAATATACTGCTTGGTGTTGTTTGTGCTTTGCCTCACTACTCCAGTCTGCCCTGGGTAGGAGATGCCCAACTCTCGCGAGAGACTTGCTAGAATCAAACCTTCTGTTTTCTACCTGGAGATACCTCTGAGTTTTTATTTGGGTAAGTGGTCTCGAATCCTACTCAGTGGGGGCTCATCCCAGGATTTTCTTTGATTAGGGTGGGGGCTTCCCTTGCCGAGGTCAAGACTGAATGTACATCTGAGATTTCTCAGAGGTCTTGAGCCCTGGACGGAGGTTACCACCCAGTCATTGAAATACACCCGAAGGGAGTGACTCAGAGAAACAGAAGGTTTGTTAGGGCTCCGACGATTAGGGACGAAACTGAGAAATTCCAGCCAGCCGGTGGCTGAGAGCAGTCACGTAAGTTGTACATGTGCAGCCCAGAGGTAAGCACTCAATGGTCTGGAGGTAGTCGGCAAGGGGTGAAGGCTATTTAGGATGGACTCTAGTTTGGGCGGAGTCCAGGCCTGTTCAAATTGTGGAATAGATAACTCATTGGAAGGATGCCACTGAGAAAGCCTCATGGGT